CTTTCAGCCCTCTTCGCTTTCAGTACCCATAGGATCATGGAACACACAGAGGGACTCTACTCCAACCATGCACTTCAGTTCCTAACAGAAACTCCAAATTTGCAATGGTGCAAGAGACAGAGGGGGCACTGGGGACTCTCTATACTTGGTGGGCAAACCATTTGCCTGGAAACCTAAAACTGCTCTAAAAATATTATTATTATTATTATTTTAAGCAGGACACCAAAGATAGCAGGTGAGTGTGTGGGGTTGGAGGTGAGGGTTGAAATCAATTCAAGCTTCACTGAGGGGGGATAAGAAGCAGGACTGGAAGGAAGGGATGGGAGTGGCAGGGGGGACTCTGGGGGAGTGATCCCAGCAGAGGGACAGTTGGGGGCAGACCCTGAGGTGCTGACCTGTTGGGGGAACAGCCAAGAGGCTAAGAAGGGGGGCAGAGTCATGGATGGGGAGAGCCACTGAGGCGGTGGTCAGGAAAGAGAGTCTGTGGTCACTATAGGGAAGTACCCTTTCTCCCTGGCACTGAGTGGGGAGGGAGCCTGTGGACATGTTCAAGGGCCTTGGAAGAGGGCCAGGCAGAGACCGAGAGACCAGTCTGGAGCAGAGGGTTACAACAGGGCCCTGCGAGCTGGCAGGGTTTGGGATCCGGGTGAGGGGAGCCACGAGAGGGGAGTGAGGTGAGAGGTCTTGCGGGGCTTCCTGGGCTCCACCCAAGAATGGCTTTTCTGACCCCTTCCTTTCTCAGAGCCTATACCTAACTCAGGGGACAAGGGTTGCTGCCCTGACCCCAGTGTGGATTAGCTGTGGCCTTGTTTCAGAAGTGTGGCCAAAGCCCCAGGCTCCAGGTGGGTGGGGCTCCTCCAGCTGCTCAGGCCCCAGGGCGGCCAGGCCCCAGAGCAGCCAGGCCCAGGGCAGCCAGGCCCCAGGGCAGCCAGGCCCCAGGGCAGCCAGGCCCCAGAGCAGCCAGGACCCGTGTGGAGATGGAAGAGCCAGAAGAACAAATACGCCCATCTTGGAAGAAATACACCCACATGCTCCTGAGACGCAAGGCTCTGAGCATGTTATCAAGAGGGGGCAGTCTCTAGGGCCGGACATCACGCATGTGGAAGTTGGCTATTGAAGAAGAAAGACGGAAGAAGAGTCAATGCCCCTGCAGGATGCTGCTGAAGAAGAAGGACCACGGACTGACAAAGGACAGACAACTCTGCCTTGAAGGCAAGGCCGACGTGCTCCTTAGAAGTGAGGATGATGAAACTTGGTCTCACGCACTTTGGACACGTTCTCAGGAGGCAGCCGACCCTGGAGAAGACCACCGTGCTTAGTAAAGTAGGACAGCGGAAAAGAGGACGGACGAGATGGGCTGACACAGAGGCTGCAGCATGGGCTCAAACCTAACAGCTGCAGGGATGGCGCAGGACCAGGCGGCACTTCATTCGGTTGTGTGTGTGGTCGCTATGACAACAACAAGCCACGAGGTCATTGCGGGGGGCCTGGGTAGTGCTGAGGGGCTGGTCAGGGACCTGAGGGCTCGCTGTCCCTTGCCCGTCCTCCCCCTGCCTCCTCTGGGCTTTGGATACTTTGTCTCCTCTCCCTCAAACACTACAGCTCCTGTCCAGGACCCAAGGCCAGAAGTGGCCGCAGCTGGCTCCAGCCAGCCCTTAGGCCTCTGCACCCGGGAAACTCAGGGGAAGGGCCCCCTGGGGACAGTGGACTCAGGGTCACTGTGGCCATCCCCCTGCTTCCGGGACAATGTCCACAATGAAGAGGGTAGACTGGGAGTGTGTTGGGTGGCTGCAGTGTCCTCTTTATTCCCAAGCCCCCTCTAGCACCCAGAAGGTCCCCTCTTCCCCAGCAGCCTGAGTGTCCTGGGCCCTCCGGAGGCTGGCCAGCCCCCCACCTCCTCCGCAGCAGCTTGTCACTTCATGGCCTTGGCTGCCAGTGGCCTCCCTGGGCTGGATCAGGTTTCCACTGGTATCGGAGTGGCTTCCTCCCTCACCTGCCAGGGAGGGGGCTGAGCCCTTGTGAATAATTCACTGAGATTCACAGCAGGCGGGAGGCACGAGAGCAGAGCGGACCATAGCCTCTGAGCCCGTGGCCCAGCTCCCTGGGCGTGCCCCCACAGCAGAGAGCCACACAAGGGCACTTTCTGATCAGCCAGGCGACACGCTGCAGCAGCAGGGACCAAGCCTGAGTCCCTGTCCACTTCCGGGAGATTCATGGTCCTTCCTGGGGGCTAGGGGCCTATCAATTCATTCTATCTGGTCATAGTTAGGCAGGCCCAGAGCTCAATCTCTCTCAGCATCTGGCATGGTCTGGGGATGGGGCCAGGGTCGCCAGGACCCCAGGGAACATCCCCTGAGGACCTGGGACTCATTCTGGATGCCGGGTCTTTCTGTAGACAGGGGTCCGGGGTTGGCCAATGGCTCTCTGAACCCTATATTCCTCTGTCTGCATTTCATATTACACTTCCAGGTCCCAGGTCATACAGTTTGCGCCTGATGAGGCTGGCCATTGTGGTGATTTCCTTGACTGACAGTGTCCGATGGGTGCTTACTGGCTGCATGAACATGGCCCTCCCATCTTAGGACCTCAGTGTCCTCTGCTTTAAGTGAGGGAGTGGGCCAGGGGCAGCAGGGCCCACCCCGTGTGTGCATCAGCATCTGTACGGTGGAGGGGGTACCTGGCGTAGCCTTGGCTCACCCCCACCCCACCTGGAGCCTCTAACTCATGGATCAGTGACAGAACCCCGGGTATGGAAAGGACCCTCCTCTAACTCTCCTAACTCTGACCAAACCAAAAAACTAAACTCATTGTCTTCAGATCAATAGTGTAGACCGGCCCCTGTGGGTTTCTGAGACTGGAATCTTTACAGGAGGAGAAAGCCCCATCTTTCTCCTGCGGAGCGGCTGGTGGTTTGGAACTGCTGACCTTGAAGATGGCAGTCCTATTCATAACTACTATGCCACCAGGGCTCCTCCTGACTTTGACACGATCTGAGTGTTTGGGCCCAAGCTGCCAGTGGCCCCTCATGAGGTGGCTGGGAATAGAGCCCCTGCCAGGGCGGAACATCCATTGGCTTTGTAGTGACCACACCAAGGAACTTCTTGCCAGGGGACACTGGAGCCAGCCTGGTGGGAGTCAGAGCTGCCTGGGACCCCTACCAGTGTGCCAGGCCAAGAAGCTACCAGCTGCTATGCCCTTGCCACATGCCTTGGAATGGGGTTGGCCTCCTTGCTGGTGGCGAGCAAGGTGCTCTCAGGAGTGGAACCAGTAGACTCTCTCCCCCTCCCGATACTGGGACCACAGTCACCTCCATCTAAGGAGGTTAGAACCTTCACCCCAGCTCAGGCCCTCGGGGGCCCCCTGATTGCCACTACCTCATGTGGATCTAGGCAACTGTGGCCCAGGAGCCTTGTGTGAGCCTGAGGTGCTGTGAATGACTGTGTATGGCTCCTTTGGCCAGAGGCTTGGTAACTCCCACCAAATGATGGGTAGGGCTATGCAAATGTGGCCCACGGAGGCGATTGGCCAGCTTGCTCATCAAGTCAATAAGGTCCATGGGACCATGCCAGTGAGACACCACGGGACTCTAACAGGAGGACTGCTTAGTTTTGCCATCAGCTTAACACAAGCCATCTCAGTAGAAAGGAGGACCTCGCTACAATCCAGACAGAAGAGCCAGGAGTGGGACGTGTCTCTTGGACCCAAGATCTCTGGGCTGAACCTCCTCGATTCAGGAGCTGCGACCCCCGAGAAGGTAGAGATGCTCCTGAGGACCAAGAGCCTTCGAGAGCAGCAGCAGCAGTGGGTTGTCCCCAGGCACTTAATTGGGGGAACTAGGGTTGCACACTTTTGGAGAGGGAGTTGATCCTCCTCCGGTTGAGGCTTACCGCCAGAGGGCACATCGATCCACTTACCCTGGCAGGACCGAGAACAAGGGGCCATGGGGCTGAGAGAGGAGAACTAAAGAGCTTGGTGAAACTTGTCCAAGCAGGCCAGGAGGCTGAGGGAGGGTGGGTGCGCCTTGGAGGACAGTTGAGAGGAGACTGCCCTGACAGAAGAAGAACTGTATCCAAAGTATTCTGTATCTTGAATGGCAACAAGTTATTGCTCTAAACCACATGCTTGTGCTTCTGTGCAGTCATTGCAACAATTATCAAACCCAGCAAGGAAGCAGCAAGCTCCGTGGGAGGAGGGCTGGTATCAGAAATTGACAGAGGCTGAAGCGAGGTTCGGCTAATCTCTGCCTCATAAGAATTGGCCCTGAGATGATATTGACTTTGTCTCTCTTTCCTCTTGGTGAAATCACAAGAGGCCCGACAGCCTCCCCTCAACCTCACTATTTTTACTTAGCCCCAATCTCTCCATGCACATCCCTCCCCCCATCCATCCTGTCCCGGGAGTTCCCACCCCCTATCAGCTACTTCCTCAGACCAGACATCCCACCCAATGGGTCTGAGAGATCTGGGTACCATGTCCCCATCTGAGTACTGGGGACTAGTCGAGAGGGCCACAGGAAGTGACCACTTTCTTTCTCGATGGCCTGGCCCAGAAGCCTCTGGGGCAGTGGTCTGACCAGGAGAGGAAGGAGCTGGATAAGGAGTTTGAAAGTAGATGTGGCTCCTCCTCTCCCTATTAGAAGGACCGAGGAGGTGCTGCGGCACCCCAGTTCCGTTTAGAACAGCCTTGTGGATTAGCGCAGGCCTGGGCTCCACAGCCCCGGGCAGCCGACTGGTCAGCATGTTGGCCTGGGACCCAGACTCCCAAGTCAGCTGCCCATTTGTCTACCTATGCAGCTCAGGTTGGGGGGGTGGGTGAACCTGGGGAGTCCTTGGAGGACTGCCGGGGAGAGGAGCAATCTCCTCTGGGGTAGGTGCTGCCTCTGGACTTGCTCCCTTGTCACTGAAGGACAGGGGAGTGGCCATTCCCTGGGATGCTGGAGGATTGTGGCTGGCTCTCATCTCCCCCGACCCCTGGCCCATGCCACCCAGTGGTGTCCTTACTTAGGGTGGTATCTGACGAGCAGCCTCAGGGAAGGGAAGTCTCCTTTGGCGGCGGCATAGTGGATAGGCAGGGCACCTATGTCTGTGGCCATGGTGGGGTCCGCCCCGCCATGCTGCAGCAGCCAATTCACCAACTCGGGGTGGCCGAAGCGGGCAGCCAGGTGCAGGACTGTGGCACCAGAATTGTCTTTGTCCTGTGGGGAGAGAGCAATTCTTTCAAAAGCCTGGCCCTGCCTTCCTGCAGCCTCCAGGGGAGTCTGTCCTCTCCACCTGCCCCTGCTGGGGAGGGCAGGCAGGTCTCTCTGGACCACTGTTTGGGCGGTTGAGTTGACCAGGAATTTCAATCCTGAGTCTGTCCCTGAGCAGGTCTTTTCTGAACCTCAGTCCCCAACAGCCCACTGTGCCCAGCACGCATCAGGTTCTCAGGACAAGGCCTGGCGGCGGCGTCACAACACCTAACACCCGCACACTCACAAACTCACACCTGGGATGGCATCCCTGATCCTCAGCACCCCGTGTTTCCAGGCTCAGCTCCCTGCCACCCGCTGTTGCCCCGAGGGCTTGGCACTAGGAGGTTTTATTTCTGTTCAAGAATTGGCCACGACCAGGTGCCAAAGTCTGTACAAGTGAGTGGGGGTGGCTGGGTTGAGCAGGGCCGGGCTGGCACTGGGATGACAAGGGGCACCTGGGTGTAACAGCCTGAACCCTCGTCCCCTTCTCCCCAACATGTTTTGTGGGAACGGACATGTCTGCTTTGTACATGACAGCTTCAAGAACCCAACCTTAGGGCAGAAAATTGCCCCCCCACCAAAGACCCCCTCGACTCCTGGCCATGTTCCTGCCTCTGCCGAGGAGGAAGCTTCTGGTACTAACGGGCAGACCTAGGTCAGGCAGTCCTAGGGGTGGCCGAAGCGGGCAGCCAGGTGCAGGACTGGCTGTTAAGGGATGGAAGTTAAGAGGCTAGGCCAATACCCCACCGCCACCCCCAAGGCACCGTAAAGGGATGAGGCTGTGGTCTGGGCCCAGGATTCTGGGAGCATGCTCATTGGCGAGTCTGCAGGTGTGGAACAGGTTGGTGGTGGGAGTCGCCTGCGGAAGGACGAAGTCTGTGCCCAGAGGCCGGCTTGTTTGGGAGAATGGACACCGCAGGGAACAGAATGAGCTCCAGCCCTGAGCACGTGGAACAACCCGGAAGTGGCAGGGACAGAAGAGGGTGTGAGGCAGCTTGAACTCATGGGACACCCCGAGCCAAGCTCCACGAGAAAGGGAACTCTGGAGTTCCTGAAAGAAATTGGGAGGGGGTGTGTGTGTGCACAGGAAACTGAGGACCAGGGTAGTGAGGCTGACACGGGACAGTTGAGGCAGGGAGGAAGATGAGACCAAGCTGCTATGTTCCTCGGAAAGCTGAGGTGGATGTGAGGCCCTTCCCTGAGCTGGACAGCTTGTGCACACCTGGGAGATGGGCTCATCTCAGCCCCTGAGCCTGGGTGTAGGACTGGCTAGAGGTGACCCGAGCAGGACCTGGTGATACCGTGTCCTGAGTCCCAACTCTCGAGAAAGGTCCTCCCTTCTCACTAGCCTCAGGGATTGTGGGTCTGAGTCTCTTAGTGGGAATGCAGTAAGCAGAGGGCCCAGGTCTGTGGGTGCCAGCCTGTCCCTAGTGCTCTACCAGCTGTAGGTCTCAGGCCGGGCAGAACCAGGAATCTAGGCCAGTACTCCACATTCATGCTGACCCTCTGCCCAGTGGGGGTGAGGGCGGGGGACTTGATAAGCTGGGCACAAGGCCACTTGCTTCTTCTAGCTCCTCTGCCATGGCAGCTTCAGGGGGGTGAGGGGAGGGCTGGACACTGGGTCGTGGGAGGAGAAGGGAGGCTTCCAGACAAGGCTGGACACACAGTCAGGGGAATATGCCCCCACGGGTGGGCATGGACCACATGACCAGGAAGCCCTGATAACAGAGGCAACCAGGGGTAAAGATGCCATCTCCCAGGAAGAGTGGGAGAGGGCCTTGCCCTCCTGAGGGCAGAGAGTGGGGGCGGAGCGGGGTTTGACCATCCTGGGAGCAAACAAGCCAACTCAGTCACCACCCACCCATTCTAGCCCAGCCATTGCCATCTAATAGACTCAGGGAGATTGTGTGGGGGTCAAAGGACTAGCAATCATTTAACCAACTAACCAGTCATTTCAGAAACAGATTACCAGGCCTTTCTTCTGCTGGGGGGATTCGAACCACCCACCTTCCAGTTAGCAGCTGAGCATGTTAACCACAGGCAACACCCAGAGACCCCTCCCACCACTGCCTCCCCCAGCAGCCGGCTTCTCATCCAGATTCCTCACCTTCACCCAGTAGCCCCTGCAGGAACTGGCCTCAGGGCTGTGACCACTGGGCCTCACCCCCACTCCAGCCACACCTGCCTCCTGGCTGTCCCTCCCCCAGGACACTCATCTGCACGCCTCAGAGCTTCGAACTAACTGTTCCTCGAGTCTAGGGCTCTGCCGGCCAGCTGGCTACCTCCTCTCAGCTTCCGGGGTCCCCAGGGAGGTCACTGCTCAGAAGGGCCTTGCTGGTCACCCTTCCCCCACGCAGTACTCTCTGGGGACCGACCCACCCGGCCTGATGCTCCAGGGTTTACACTCAACAGCTTCTGGGCGGTTGCCAACGGGGGCTTAGCAGTGCCAGAAACCCAGGCAGGGACAGACTGGCACAGTGGTGTCAAAGGGACACTGAGAAAAACAAGGTGGACATTGGGGACAGGAAGACAGGCAAGGGGTGTGGGTGGTGGTGGTGAGGCAGCAACTCAGGGCTGGGGGGGCTTCAAGACACTGAGGTCGGGGGTCCACCTCTGTCCTGGGAGCTCCCCACCCCCCTGCCCCCTGCCCTGCCCTTCAGGCCATGCACATCTCAGCCTGGGGTGGTGGGTGCACCAAACCTGGAGGGCACGAGCCCTGTGCGACTCCAACCCCCACAGGATCTGGGAGATCAGAGCTTTGCCTCAATACTGGTTCCACGGAGCCTAATTCCCTCCGCCTCCCTACAGCCCATTTCCCATTCAGGGAGTGGCCCAGGATTGCTGGGGCCTCTGACTGGGAGCTCTCAGCCCCGGAGCCCACCCCACGCAAAGTCCCCCAAGGAACTCCATGTGGGGCTCAGCTGGGCCCAAGAGTCCCCCACTCCACCCACCCGTCAGCTATCGGGGTCCCGGGCCGAGGGCGCCCGTGCCAGGAGCGGACTCACCTGCACTTGGCAAGCGCCCTGCGAGAGCAGCCACTGCACGCAGTTGAGGTGGCCGGTGGCGGCGGCGTCGTGGGCCGGCGTGGCGCCGTTGCGCGCCCGGGCCGCGGCGGGCTGGGCGGCCTCCTCCACCAGGAAGCGCAGGCAGTGCAGCTTGCCCGCGCGGGCCGCGTGGTGCACGGGCTGCGCGTCCAGGGAGTCCCGCAGCGAGGGCCCCAGCTGGCCGGTGGCGTGCAGGGTCCTGAGCACGTCCAGGTCGCCCTGTCGCGCCGCCTGCAGCGCCCGAACCAGACTCATGGTGCCGCCGCCGGCGTCGCCACCCCGCTCTCAGCGCGGTCCCAGGGACGCCATGAGAGAGTCCTAGGGCCCCGGTTGCGCAGCCGGCCGTCGGGGCTCAGCTGCCCCG